CTGATTTGTAGCATTTGCTGATTTCCAAGGTGTAAATGCTCACTCTGAATATTTAATAATCAGTTCACAAGAGCCAGTCTGAGCTTACTCCAGCATTCCTTTTCAACACCACCCATAAAGAGGCAGAACCAAAGGTAGAGTCAGCTAGCTTATAGAGCCAGAGAGGAGAGAGCTTGCTGTTGGCCTAGAGTAACTTTTGGTGGCTTATTTGGAGAACGAGTCCTAAATGGGCAGCACCTTGTCATTATTGAACGGTGTTTGGCCTTTTCTTCACTAAGAATTATGCTTAACAAACCATGGAATCCTAGAATCTCTGAGCTTGAAAGGACCCTGAGGGCAAGAGTTTCCTGTACATCCTCCCTGCTAGGGAGTGACTTTGTGACAGTTTGGCAGGTGGTGTGAGACCCCCATTTTAGTATCAGAGAAAGGCAGTAGTACCCTTTGAGGTCCATTTCTCTTGATTTCCCTTTTCCCTCTTTTAATGCATTCTAGGGAGAATGTAACTTGGTCCAATGGACAAGTTAATTGTCAAGGAGTGCTAGAAATTCCAACTTACCCTTTTAATGCCTCCCATTTACATTGGGAATTTCTGGAGCATTGTTTAGTAGGAAAAGCTCTAGAAGTAGAGGAAGAAAATCTGTGTTAATTTCTGACTTTGGCCTTTATGAGCTGTGTGACCTTAGTCAAGCCACTTTCTTCCTTTGGAGCTGAGTTTTCCCTTTTGTTAGATGGTGGGGTTAGATCAGATAATTTCCAAGGTTTCTTCCAATTCTGATGTTCCACATTCTGAGCTCTCTGAAGCATCCCGCCACCTGCAAATGTTAGGAGGTGCTCTTATGTTGTGAGATGCATGTTTGTTGCTTAAATTTCCTGGAAGATGATCTTAATTCTTCCCATTTGTTTTGCCTATGGAGATTTGGTCATTAAAATAATTTTTCAAAACTATTCTTTATGGGTGAATTAACAGGGGATTTGATCCAGAAGTTTGGGGTCAGTATTGTAGCATTTGGAGGAGTAGCATTTGGACCCTGAACATGCCTTGAGACATCACACTTATGCTTTTCCAAAGGAGAATGGAGAAGTCAAGACTTGGGGTCGAGACTCACTGAAATTCCCAAAACATGCCTTGAAGATTAGTGCACCTGGCTCTAGATT